ATGCATTTGGAGGAAGTTAAGCGCCATAGCCGTTCACGGTCTTGACACCGCAATCAGTGTTTGCCTGGCTGGTGTGACACCACGCCAGTTTCAATACCCTACCGGCCGCACTTCAAATCACCTACGACTTCTAATCTTGGCACGGAAGCGGCCCCACTCCTCGCTATCTCACCGCTCATCCGCCTCGGCGATTTTCGCCCTCGCTGAGTGGATGAGCTAGGCCCGGCGGGCGCACGGGGCGCGGCCGGGCCCGGCCAGGGTGGCGCAGCAGACGCCGCTCCGCCGGCTACTGACCAACTCGGCGGTCGGCGGCCGGAAGGCACGCCGGCGGCGCACTCACCAAGCAGGTGCGTCCAGATGTTGACCGTCTCCGTGTGGATGTAGAAGATGGAGCGGAAGCAGGCGTAGAAGGACGGCATCGGCGCCCGGTGCGACTTGTGGATGTAGTCGTTGTCCTGCGCCCAGGGCGGCAGCGCGTGGAACGAGACCAGCCGCGTGCCAGCCGCCCACACCTGATGGCGGGTCCACCCACGGTCACAAACACAAACCAGCGGCCCGCGGCCATGTCGGCGGGCGTGCAGCCAGACAGCTACAACGTGCCACAAACCTACGCTGGACAGGTCGTGTCCCAATCAAGAGAAGATTTCACATACACGATGATGTGGGGTGCGCATGCGTGACAGTAATATGAACATTGCCCTGGAGAAAACGAGGTACAACTGTAAACCATGACGGCTTTAAGATAAGCAGCCAACGCTAAAACCAGACATCCACGATATCAAGGGCAGCCTACGTGTCAGTTCAAAGGTTGGGACCAACAGTCAGTCGGATGACAGCAATAACTGATGGCCGTTATCCGCACGTCAATACTTCAACCGACTTCGAGGCGCCTGCTAATCGTCAAGATAACCAGCTTCATAGAGAAGGGCGTAACAATTTGGCGTGGGGAGTAACTTCAAGCTTTTACTCCGAATCCGGTTGCATAGATTACGTAATAACTTTACTCCTACGTCCGTAAAATTCTACTATTTACGGGGAAATCTCAAGTAAGGATTTGCTCCGTATTTCAGCAACCATCCATCGGGTTTCATAAACACAGCTGGTTGGGCCATGCAGCAGACATTGGCTCAAAACTGAGGTTAAATACAAAGATGTTCCGGTCCGCCGTAAAATCAGCAGTGATTGTCATAGAGGAGCCGGCGTATGGCCATGCAGGAGCGGAGGAACAGCACATGTAGACCGAGAATCAACCCACAGTGAGCGATTGTTGAGCAGTGAAGCAATGTCAACAGTATCAGGGGCGGACCTTGTACATAAGGCGGGGCGTTTACGTACATGTCAGAAAATGTATACAACTGCAGTTCGTGTTGTTACATTGTCAGCATCACAAACATATGCCAAGATGTGTGGTGGATAGAGGTGACAAGCCGACATGAAAACCTTCCTCTTTCCGACATGTCTTAGATTTCACGATATTTTTTTCTTGCTATGACAGGACAGATACGAGTTCACAAAATGCACAACCTGGGCTAAGGATAAATTCAGCTATTTCAGGGAACTTTTGTCACTGGGGCGCATTCTGCCTTCACACGAAGTACAGGGAAGCCATAAAACAGCTTTGATTACTTCTACGAGTAGCGGAACAACATCGAGAATTGGATGTCTGTATTTCAACGAATTAAAAAAGTGATCGTAATTAGTCTATAAATTAATCGTCACACAAATCACAACTTCTTTACTGAGTTAAGTCATAAATGACCACACTTTTAGCTGCCTTAGCGATATACCTGGGTTTATTATAGGCATCGAAACCTTTCGGTTCTACGAGTGACAACATGCTTGCCATGGCAGCGACCGCTTGCACTGGAATTGAAATTACTACAACACAAGGTCGCTTCAGCCTCGATATTTACGGTTTACTTCGGAGGAATGCTGCCCAGTTTATGAAGCAGGGTAGGAAGTCGGGAGCTGCGCCGAAATGCTTCGGCCAGCCGGAGGTAAGAAGTAGCTTCTCGTTATGACACTGGTAACAGAATGTATAATGCCCATCTCAACCCCGACTAGAATCATTTTCTAAATCGACAACGACGATCACCTGAGTGGGATCTGGTGTACAGCTGAACACCGACGCAAAACTCAGTCGGCACCCACCACCGGCATCACAGAAGTACCAGGGCTAGTCCAATCGCTAACAGACCATACGTCCGCGGTCGCTGCGCGCTCCGGCGACGGCTGCGAGGCCGGCGTACCGGGCGAGCGTGCCCCTCCAGCCGCCGGCGGTGGGGCTGGCCCACGGCGCCCGCTGCCGCGCCGGCTGGCAGTCGGCGCTCACTCCTCTCCGGCCACCACCACTGGCGGCAGGCGCTCTCTGCCACCCCGAGCCGCCGACACACACGGTCCTCACGGCGCCCGCCGCCGCGCTGGCCGGCAATCGGCGCTCACTCCTCTCCGGCCACTACCGTTGGTGGCAGGCGCTCTCTGCCACCCCGAGCCGCCGACACACACGGTCCTCACGGGACGGACGCTGCGCCGGGACACAGCTGACAGTGGACCGGGTGCCGCAGCCACTCAGCACGCGACATGGCGGCGTCGGGGTCACCGAAGGATCCCGGAGCACGGTGAACTAAGGGGGACCATGCAGCGAGACAATGAACGCGGCGGCTGCCGTGGGACGTGGTGGCAGTCAGGGGGATATAGCGGCAGACCGGGGACGCGGTGGCAGGCGAGGCGAAGGAGCGTGCACGGAAGGTGGTCCCCGGTCAGGGAAGGAGTTCGGCGGCGCGTGTCGGTCCACTGCCGGCGGACATTTGCTGACAGGCTCCAGTTAAGGCTGCTGAGGCGTGGTTCAGTACCGAGGCCCGGCCTCTGAACCGACTGGTGCCGCGTCCACGCATGCACCGCCTGTCACGCCTTGGAATGTGCAGCGCGCCGGGTTCGTTGTTCCAGCATTTAAGAAGGAATGCTCAGTACACGAGAAACGGCATGAACTAATGTGATTTTGAGCGCGCTTCTCCAACACGATTTCAGAAAATTTGGATACATCCACGTTGGTTGAAACCGCCGGACAACCGAGCTGCCCCTCCCCCGCCCCCTCCCCCCGACTGCTGCCGGTCCCGGTCGGCAAGCTCCGCCAGCCGGCCCTTGCACTGTGATACGGTACGCCGCTGTCGCCGACTCCGGCCGCCACACAGCGGCAGCTGGTAAGCAGCACCGTCCCGGCGCAGAGGGAGCAAGCCGTGCCGACTCCCTATTGAACGTTCCGTCCACGTGTGGTGTCATTTCGGGTCCGGCACCGACGTCGACAGCTTTGTCCTTGTTCCAGATGTTACGGTCGCTCGGCGCAGGCGCAGCGTCAGCAGTCGCCCCTCCCCTCTCCCTCCCCCGCCCGGCTCGTCTGGCCGACTGCACGCCCCCCGCCCCACCCCCCGTCAGAACGTTTGCGTCACCGGCCAGACACGGTTCAAACGGTCGCCACTGCCGGCTACGCTCCCGGCCCGGATCGCAATCGTCCATCACGGCCAATCCCACCCCGACATCACTGCAGCCCTCTCCCCATCCCTCTTTCAAGGCGGTACCAGTGTCACCGGCAAACGTCCCTATCAAGATCACCACAGGACCGGTCGGACATTTCACCAGCCGATGCGCGCGTTTCCGCGTGCAACGTCCGGGCGCTGAACGGCGGACGGACGGACGGACGAACCTTGTGGGCGAACTCCTCGGCCTTGTGCACCAACTCCTCGGCGTGCTCTATGGCGTTGTGTGCCATCTGGCTGAAGTCCAGGTCTCCCGTGGACTCCTCGCGGTTGATGACCTGGTCTACCAGCTCGTCCTGAAACACAGTGCCGGCACGCGTTTAATGTCGTGCAGCCACAAAGCACACACACAGCGATCGGAGCACCTAGTCTGCGCTTGGCAGCAAATGAGCCCCATGCTACAAAACGCGCAGTCGTTACCACAGCTGGCATATTTCCACTCACACCTATAACTGAACACCTCTGTGCTGCCATGCCACTTGTACCTGCAGTGCACAACAGCGCGTGTATGCCTCGTCCGTCACTCGTCCCCCCCCCCCCCCCCCGTTGCTCCGTAGCTGAACGCCCTCGGCCCAGCCTCGCCGCCCCCATCTGACGGTGTCGGCCGGCGGCCCCGAGCGGCCCGGACAGCGCGCCGACTGTTGGACAAATACCACGCTGGCCAAGACGACCCCCACGCCCTGGGGTCTGGACTGCACTGGACCCTGCGGTGGTGAAGGTCACGGCGTCTGGCAGCGCCACCGACGGAGCACGCATGGCGCAATTCAAAATTTGGGTTGCACAAAAAACAAATGTTTATTTCTACCCGGCAACAATATGATTTATTATATTCAATGCAAGGGTGGATTGAGACTCTCGCAATTGTCGTTTTAAAGGTTTCGTTGGTGTTAATATTACAATTCAGTCAGATGATAATTGGGAATAATGAACTATAATTATCAATCATGAATTATGAATTATGAATATGGATCAGTCTGCTATACTTCCTCGTTTGATCCGGTATCGAAATGCGAAGCCCTAGCACATATTCTACCACGGCCTGCTACGCAGCGCGCAAGGTCAACGCCAGCTGACTGAGCCCTGTCACCCCGCGCGGCCGCCAGATGAATCTCCTACCCTGCAGCACCAGCTGCTCCGGTGGGCAGACGCCCTGCACGCACCGGCCGCGTGCCGGGGGGCCCCCCCCCCCCCCCCCCCGTCGCCTACACGACCGGCCCCGTCGTAGCACGAAGCACCGAGCCGCCGACAGGCGCCGCTGCGCAGGCGGAGCGGCCGACCTCGCCAAAACCCAGCGTCAGCCAGTGGTGCCGCCCGCCCGCCTGGCCCCGTCGCCGCAAGCAGCACCGGGCCGCCGGCCGGCGCCGCTGCGCAGGCGGCTCGGCCGACCCCGCCAAGACCCGGCGTCAGCCGATGGTGCCGCCCGAGCGGCGGCCGCTGGTTAGCCTGGCCAGGCCTGAACACGTCTCTCTCGGTCTCGGGCCGCGCGCGGCACTGCGCGCACACGTGTTGAGCGCCGGCAGCGGGCGCGGCGCGACAACTCTTGTGTAGCAAAACAACCCATCAGCGGGCTACGGCTGGATGCGGCAGGTTTGGTGGAGCGGCTTCAGTTGTTTTTTCACACTGGTCAATCGAGCTCGGCAACGTCTGCACGGCTCAAATGCGCCAAAGAATGCCTAAAGCGTGCAAAATTTCTGACCAGACAAGGCACTTCTTCCCCAAAATCAGTGCATTTGGCCCCGCGAAATCGCGCGGGCTACTCGTAAGTTGTGGGAAAAGCTTGTCAGGGTTTCTCAGCAAAAATATATGCAAGAAATTTATGTGCACTCCCAACGTTGCACAGCTTTTACGGAAGCGAGCAAACGAGCAGCGTACCACGGCAGGCATTGCGCGTGGCAAAATGGACGATTTCATCGGTAAAAGATACAGGCACTACAACAATATAGACATCGAGATTTTATTGAGTAGTTGAATTCAACGCTTTCTCCCATCACATAACAATGATGATACACGGCAAGGTCCTGTGCACGTAAATTACTATGAAGCCGTTACAGTCGCACTCCAGTGGTAGCGGTATCATCACACTTACCTTTTTCTCCCTTTTGTTTGTTTGGTAATAAATGCAAATGTAGTTCTCTCTACAGCCGATTTCTTGGCCGTAGTTTAGTTGGTAAGAGTTATGCTTCAATCAGTTCTATAGTTTGGGGTGAGACGAAACAGTACATTGGAGTGATTGAAATCGGCCGAGTAGTCCATTTTCAAGGTTTGTGGCACTCTACTCATCTAAGCTGGAGTTCTGGAACCGAACCATAAGCTCCTTCAGTTCCAAACAGAACTACAAACATGCATAGAGAACTCAGACTTGGGCAGAACTGGGGTAATATTAGTAAATTTGTTGACACCGCGGCAGTCTTTCCGCTTCATAATGACATTATAATTGTTGGTTTACGTCCATTCTGGTTTAACAGCGCACCACTTGCTGAGGCTATATTGCACCCACGATAATGGTTGGTTGCCTTTTTGTAACTACTTCCGCAAAGCCCAAAGATTGACAAAGATTTGAAATCATCGTACGATTCCCGAAGAATGTCCATGATCCAGAGGCAATGTGGCAAATGTAATGAAAAAATTAGTAAATGTTTTTAATGTACATTTTAAAGCTTCGGTGTTATCCACTTTCATACAACTGGCATTCCCATACTCACGTTTCATGTGGAATGCTCAAGAAAGCGTCAGTCCTCTGCAATAATGGCACTATCATACAACGATGGCAATACACCACCGTCAATATTCAACGATCCATTGACACCATTGAAAGCCCGCCATTACGGAGGCATTGAGGATGTGCGGTCAAATTTCAGCAAAAAAAGTTGCCTGTCGTGGTTTTCGAGAAAAACTGGTTTCATTATTTCCGTGCTTCGGTAACTCCGTTTCATTTTGGTAAAATGGTTTAAACCTGGAACACGCGAATTGCGTACGGTGACATGAAAGCGCATTCTCCGAGTGCGCAATTTTTCATCATCGCATCTTCAAAACATCCACGCCGAAATGTCACAGGCGTTGTCAAATGGCAGCTCCTGCAATATTGGGGACACCATTTTACGATTACCGTCTAAACCAACTCCTGCTGGGCGACGAGAAGCCAAAATTTATTATAGAGGGCCGGACGCTAGTCCCATTAATTCAAAATACGACAGCATGAAACCTGAAGCGATAGGGTGTAGAAGGGAAAAGGAAAGCACGCTGACTGACGCCGACAATCCACAGGTCCGAGCAGACCGACGGATGACCGGCGACACGAGGGATCGGGTAATGGCGGACTGGGAAAGAGCATGCCACGATCCCAGCTGTGGGAGGCGTTGGCCGATCTCAGATGCGGTCGACACCTGGCGAGCGAAGCACACACTGGCTGAGCCCGAGCGGCGGACGGGGCTGGGACGGAGGGCTTACGCTGACTGAGCCGCGACCGTGGACCGCGAGGTGACGGTGGCGGACGCGCTGCACGCGGTCGGCCGAGTGGCGCCGCCAGAGCCGGCCGCGGCGCCCCGCAGGCGGCGTCGCTGCCGCGGGCGGCTTGCCACCCAGACAAGGCCGAGATCCGCTGGCAGACACGACCACGCCGGTTCAGGACGGGCATGGACGGGACAGGACCAGGCATACCGCGGCCGACGGTGACTTAGAGCTCAGTACTTCCCGCGTTGCCGGTTTTGTTGCCCACATGCACGCTTCCCGTAGTGGGTGAGAATGGTTGCTGCATTCAGCAGCCGTCACTGCCTGGTGCGGTGGATATGCATTGTCCATCAAAAACATTCAGAGACTAAAAACGCAAAGTAACATCCATGTTTTCCGGTGAGGCAAATCGCACACATCGCACGTCGCATGATGTTTCATCAGGCTTCACCCATGCTGATCCTATGCTGATTACCACCACCCTTGTTCACAGCAAACGATGGCATGCCAACCATCACTACTTTTTCGAGACTACTGCTGTCGTCACAGGCCACCTTACCTCCAAGGGATCGTAGGATTCATCCTGGGGCGTGCTTGGGAGGGCGTGACCTCCCTCGCTGCCCTCGTCTTGCTCCAGCAAGCGAGACACCTCGGGCAGTTCGAACCTGAAAAGGAAACCACGTGTTCAGCAACAGTACAGCGCAGATGTACAGAACGGACTGTCGTGTGTTCCGGGCTACACTGGCTCACGCAGAGCACGCCGACCCGAAATAAGTCGCCACGGCGTTGTACACGAACTCCAGACACATTAAATGACATAACTTAACACGTAAATCACGTAAGTTTTGACCACATTTAGTAGATGGGTGGCCGGTAATAAAAAACAAACAAAAAAAAACAAGTTACGCTGGCAGCAGGAATTTGCCACATCTAAACACAAAGCGACACGTTTGCACTTCGACGCGTGGTTGGCACAACCAATCGCCAATTATAAGCCAATTCCAAAAAAACAACACAACGCTCACCACATGTAAAAATAAACAGTACGGAAAATGAGGGACCGCCCCTAACGCTGCAACCAGAAGCGCATTTGCGAATGGCTACTCTATATTTACGCGCAGGTAAGAGACCACCGATTTCACGCACGATTCGCAACAACTGGGAGATTTAGCACTGAATTGGAGGCAAAGCTTACAGCTGATGGAATCTGTCGTTTCGCCGTTTCCATACACCCAGACGCGAGAGAAAATTAAAACATCGCATCCCAACCGTTCGCTGCACCTCCGTTCCAAGGAAATCCCCCGTCAATAGAAAACGGACAATGGAACCCCACGAATCGGTTCCAAAATCGGTACGTTCGCGACTGTCAAGAACTAAAAACGGTACAAATTTGTGCGGCGTAAGCGTCATAAATATTACGCGCACAGGTCGTTTCGTGATCAAATCTGTATATACGGATGCAGCCATACCGATACAAGCTGCAGCATATGTCTACTAGAGATCCAAAGTATTTCAGTCTCGTCTAACATACCTGAGATGCCAAAAACCAAAACGGCAATCTATGCAACCCTTTAACCCAACAGCTGAGACGCCAAGACATAAAGCGGCAACATATCCACCTCATTTTGCCCATCGCACGCATCACCACTGCCCCATGCGCAGAAAAGCTTTATAAAATTCAAACCGAACGTCGCATTGCATAAAATAATCGCTTCCCGGTAACGCCTGCGAATTCTTGCCGCGCGAGGCGCACCGCTACACGCTTGATCTAAACAGGTTCGGATTTAGCAAACACCACCGGTTGACTAGAACAGAGCGGCGCGATTACGCCACATGCCGCGTGCAACGAGAATGTCGAAACGCCGAATGACTGGCGTCACAACCGCCCATTCCGGTCTGGCGGCGCATCGCCAGACACGCACGGAGGTCGCTTGACCTCGACTGCCGGGCCGACCTTGAGGTAGGTGGCGGAGCAGGCACCGGGTCCCGCCGCGCCAGAGAGGCACCGTATCAAACCAGCGCTCATCGCAGCGCTATAGGCTAAGCCAACGCGGCAGTTGGTATTTGGAACGGAAGCCGCGATGCGATGGAATTGTCTTGCCCCAGACTATGGCTACATACGAACAATGCGGCGCCTCCTAATACGTATGCTATTTTACTTTTTGCCAGTCACTTTTTACGATGGGACCATTTCCGCAACATTCGGCTTTAAACCTCGCTAGCACATGTGGACAAGACACCTGTATAAGACCACCGCACAGCTGTCCCCAGGACTATTCGACGCATCGTTATGAAAAGGGACTAGGTCGGTTTCACGCGTTTTCACATCCTATCGCAGCGGCGATCCGTTTATATCAAGAACACTGCTAAAATTTGCATAAAAAAACCATCAGCCGGCGGGACTATAAGGACGTTCGGGCGTTCAGGCCAGCACTAGGTCAGTGACTGGCCAGCGTGAAGAACAGCATATATGCTTCGCTGCTGTTGGCGCGGTGTATGCGGATGGGCTGGACGCTGAGACTGTGTTTAAGTATGAGCACGAGCATGAGTATGAGTAAAAGTATGAGTATGAGCAGGAGTATGAGTAGAAGCATGGGTACCAGAGTATGGCGACAGGTCGAGGCCAATGGCCGAAACATCCTCAGTGCCTTGCGCTTGTCTCTGTGCTGATCATGCGGCAGCAAGAGCTCTTTCAAGTACGCTACAAGGATGCGTGGGAACCCCCGAATCACGAAGTTCATGGGGCACTTTTGACGCTTCTGGCACAGAGAACACGTCGGCTTTACTTCTCCGTCAAGCACCCTCTCCCTTCATAAAAAAGATCAACGCAGTCCTGCAATCGCACAAGGCCCTTCATCGATGGGATCGGCAGGCTTTGCCCCTCCTCCCCCCCCCCCCCCTAAAACGGGTCAAACGTCATGAAAGTGTGGTGACACACCGTGCACCGCAGCGTGGACTTGAGTAGTCCGACAAACACGTCAACGAAGTTCAAACTCTCCAGGGACAGGGAATGCTTCCTGGCCTCCAGCGATTTCTGGCTGGTGCCGAGGCTGTCATCGATGCGGGTGGGTGTGAGCTTGTGTTAGTTGTTTACGCGGCTCGCGTCCTCATGCCAGCTCTCCAGCAGGCATCTGAGAAACTGTGTGCTTTAAATTCGACTGTTTAACCTCAACAACTTGCCACGCCGGGTAACGGATCTGGCCCCGCTGGTAAAACTTAACGACGAAAAATTTGAGAAATTAGCGCTGAGGGGAGTCAAGTTCCTTGCCCGCAGGATCTTACGTTTCTGTGTTCTAACAGTTTCGGTGGTGTAAAATGGTTGATGAATCATCATGAATGTTGCCAACCTTCGTGGTCTTCCTAAGAGCGTTCGAGGTCAACGTCATATCATGTTGAATAGTATTACGTCAACCTGACCCCCTCCCCCCCACACGCACAAATTTCATCATCTACAGAAATGACTGCGACGTATGCGTGATGGTGAGGGGTTGCTCAACATTCAGGTCACAGCATGTCGAGATTTCCACACAAGCCAGGGATTGCCAGATTTTTCAGCGTGGCACAGCCATTGCTGAATGGTATTAGCCCTCTGATGTCACAATGAGAGGCTGCACCTAGAATACGCTCCTTGTGTTCAGAGAACGCAATATGGTTGACTGCTGCGGTCTCTTACGACACGTTTGGTGATGACCTCCCAAGAGTTCATCACCAGAGAGCAATCCGAGATTCGATCCATTATGGCATTGTTCCCCAACATCACCGGTACGTGTCTATACTTTGAGTGCAGGTTGATGAAGATTCAAAGGTATGTAAATCAAGGAATATGTCAGATGAGTCTGTGGCTGGTTTGTATTTCAATGGCGCAATGTCAAAACTTTTAGTCTCCTCCGGAAGCAGCAAATGCTGCAAAAATAAAACTTCCTTCTAAATATAAATACGTCCATGTGTTTTGAAATGCAGGTACGCATTTTAACTGTTCAGGGAGGAGTGGGGAGGGCGTTACCAATATTGTATTCGTTCCCATCAAACTCGGATTCCAAAACTCAAATACTGATCTTGGACCGACGCTCACTTATCGGCGCACCGACAAACGCGCGGGCTGCGATAGCACGCGATGACCTTCACAAAGCCTTGAGCTCAAAACGACGTGGAACAAAGACTCTACGTTGAAGGCCATGCCCATGAGGGTCAAAGTACATTAGGGAACGCGCCCAGGTAGTGTTCAGTAAGAAATGAAGTGGATCCATGCCGCCAATGCATTCCGGTAAACACAGCGTGACACGAACCATAACGTGGGCTGTTCCATACGGCCCTACTAAGAACACGACACATGAACTGAGCTGGTTGCACATTCAACGCAAAATTGGCGTTCGAACTGCACGTCAAACAGGAGGGCTTCAGTGGATGCTGGCAATCGCCAAGCTGACGACTAAGACCATCGTGGTTCACGTTTTTGTAAGAGAAATACTTTTTTGAACGCCGCATTGACACCTCGTTCCTGTGCGGACTCGGCAGATATCAGTCCCGCTGAAGTAAGAAAACGCGCATGACCAAGCCAACTCTCCGAGTGGAACTTGACCCGCACGTCGCGCCTTCTGGGAGCCCCTGCTGGTGTTTGATTCCCGCTATCTTCACAAAACGATAACAGAATCTTATGTCACTACACAGAAGTGAGATGACGCCTTGGGCCTTGGCTTTACATCCAACCTACATACGAGGCAAGAGCCGAATTACCCAGTGTACATTTCACAAGTAAAGAATTTCTGAAGAAACCCAAGCCTGGCACGGACACAATCTTCATCCGTCTCGTGCTCGCCCCGGTGCGGGGCGGCACGTACTGCACGCGCCATCGCCGTCCTCCCCTTGCTGGGGCGGCGCGGGGGCCCAGCAGATCGGGCCGGGACGGTGGCCGTGACGCGCAGCGCGCCATCCTCTGAGCCGGGACATCGCAGGGACTCCCGCCTCCTCGCGGCCGTGGATGCCGCACCACGTCATGGGGCGGGTGCGCCAGGGATGCCCCGTCGCCTCCCCGTGCAGGCCCGAGCGTCGTGACGCATCGGGTCAGGTCGCGCCGGTGGCCGCTGAT